GTGAAGACAAGTTCTCTCTAGTGTTCCAGCCAGTGAGGGGTAGAACCTACTCTGTATAGCCTTATCCTCTTGGCCTTTGGTGGTATCAGGAGCCAAGGACACTAACACAGACCATGGCTGCCACATGGCTGCCACAGACCATGAACCCAAACATGACCCTGGATGGCCATCAAGTCATTCACTTCAACCTGCTGCTCACCGCTTTCCCCTCTTCCGACCTGCCTCTGTCCACAGGACATGAGTCATTCTGTCTCTCTCCTCCACACCAGATCATACATTTGCTCACCATAGAGTGCCCCGCTGCCCGGTGCCTTGCAGTGTGTTTTCTTCTCAGAGTCCAGGGCGGACTGCCCCAGGCATGCTTGTGGGTCTCTTTGTCCCACTCACTGGCTCACAGTTTTAAAGAGTTCAGTTCACAGATGCTTGACCTAGCTTGGGCAGTACTTAATGGTGGTGGGTAAGCTCTCTCAACTTACATCAGAGGGAAGTAGAGAGAGCGAGCACAAGAAGAGGCCCGAGAAAGCTAGGTCTCCAAATGAGTTCCTTCCCCCGTCTAGGGCCACCTTCTACCCTTCATTACCTCCCAATAGCACCAAGTAATGGATTCATTGGTGGATTGATCCCTTGGTTAGGTCAAAGCCCTCAGGAACTAGCAGTGGCTGGGTAAGCCCATCACACCAATATAGAATTAGATGCCTTACTATCTCTAAGGTTGCTCTCAACCCAATCAAGTAAAGATTAACCAACACACCAGTTATCTTACATTTAAGAAAAAAAGAGGATATACTAGGGATTAAATAATAAAGGGCCTGTATGTACTAAGCAAGTGCTCTGCCACTGAACTACATACTTAGCCCAGTTTTTTTTTTTCAAATGACTTGTAATGGTATGTGTTTGTGGGACACAGTGTGAAATTTCAACTCATGTATGTAATATGCATTGTCTGTATCAAGTCATTGTCACGTCTATAATCTGATTTTATTATTTCTTTGTTGGGAGCATTCAAAATCTTTTCTACTATTTAGAGGTATATTGTTATCAGCCACAGTTACCATGCCACATTATAAAAGTTTGAACTTTTTTCTTTCTATTCAACTGTACCTTCTGCTAACTACCTCAAGTCACCCTGATTTCCCAGCTTCTGGTAACTGATACCTTATCCTTTATTTCTGTGGGCTCAGCTCCTTTAGCTTCAGTATATGAGCAAGAATGTAAGAACATAAATAGGCCATATCTTTTATTCTGGCTAATGACCTGTAGCCCTGGTTACTGTGTAGTGTGAGGGCTGGTACCCCAGGGTGCTGTGTACCCAAGTCACTCCCTCTTCTTGAGGAAACGTCTAGATCCGGTGGCAGTGGGAATGAGGGACAGATGTCATCACACCCCTCACGTCGTTCTGTGATGTGTGCACAGGCTTCTCTGAAGGTGGAGGCTGATGCTTCAGTCTCTCTTGCCTTTCTTCTTTCTGTCTCTTTAGGTCACTCCTTATTCTGAACGGCTGTATGAACTTCCTAAAGAAAGAAAAATCAAAGGTCTCGAATTTTGAGCACCAAGAATCATTGGACTATAAAGGTATCCACAGAGGAAACAGTTCTTGCTTCCTCTTTGCTGAGGTTGTCATGACTGTAATTGATCGTTGATTGATTTTCTGGTAATAGGTCAGGAAATTCTATAGTCAGAAAAAGGGGCAGCATGACTTCATGGTTTGTTTTTCCTCTGCTACCTTCCCAGCAGTAAGCCCACTTCATTTACTTGTGCATTTGGTACCCATGGATGGGGAAACTATGAATGTGTCACTGTGTCATGGACTGGAGGTACAAAGAAAAATAGGACATGGCCTTTGCCCTGCAAATTATACAGCCCATGCCTATAGACAAAGCTATATGAGTTTATCCCTCTGTTAATGATCAATGAGAAAACAATCCAAAGAGCTCTCAAATGAATGAAACCCATCTTTTCTTTCCTTAAGTGAGACTCATCTACTGCCAACATGTAGGAGTTCAGTCATGTCTTAATCTACCTGGAGGGTATTGATCATGTGACAACCCCTGCCAAAATCAGCGTTTTACTTGATCCCCATCAGTCTCCTTGTGGGTATCCCTACATCCTCTTCAGGCCTCTTGCTCTTTTTTGATTAAGGTCTTTCCAGGGACCTCAATTCCAGTAACTAGACTCTCCACTCCTTCCCTGGGATCTTAATTTTAACCTGACATTTCACAATTAGAATTCTGTTTCATTATCACTATTCTTGCTATGAAGTCTTGTTCTTAAGTTTCAGCTTTGTGAAGCAAGGGAATCGTCTTTTTTCTTCTGAGTCTTTCTTGTGCTCAGTACTTGCCTTGGATGGGTTGTCTTGGGGGCTTTGAGATACTCTATATGAGCCTTGCCTACGTCTAACCTCCCCTGAGGCCCAGTGAATCCTTTCTCTACCTACTTCAACCCCAGTCTCATCAGATGGCTTCAGTCCTAGGGGTTACAAACTCTGTTGAAACATCATAACGTGTTTTATCCTTTGGGAAAGTCTAGGGTAGACGCTGTCAGTTCAGGACATATTTGTGGGCATTCATAAGAATTCTCTAGTAAACTTTGTTAATTCTGTATTCCATAGAATCATTGAGCTGGTTGTTTGGTTCCTTCCAGTTGAGGAACTGTTCATAAATTCCTATTACTATTCATTTTACTCCTGATTTTTTTCAACAGGCATTTTAAAATAAGTCTAGTTACTCTAAAATGAAGGCCATTGCTTAGGTGCTTTGGTTAAAAAATATTATGAAAATCCATGAGCTGTCAAGTGAACAGAGCTCAGGGAAGAGCAACTATTTCCATGCATGGGAAGCTGCAGGGATGTGCACCACAGGATGGGAACATGACAAAGAATGGGACATGGCACATTCAGAAAGTAACTTCCCTGCTCAGCACACCAGTTTCTTCACCTGTCTAGAAGTCAAGATTTAATAAGACAATGGATGGGAGTCATTGTGTAAATGGAGCCGAGAGTAATCGCACATCACTTGATGTGGTACGCAGTGACATCATCCATCCATCCATCCATCCATCCATCCATCCATCCATCCATCCAT